ATTCTTATCTAGTGGAAGTTGACATTTGTTGAAACTGTAAGAATAGTAATTTGACTGTGAAATAGGTATAACCTGATTTTGTTTATTTTCTTGTGAAATAACACTGCTATAGGAAGTGTTGTTTCTATTAAATAAGGAATATACACTAACAACATTTTGTTAGGTTGTTACTGTCACGATAGACTAGTTGATTTGTATAGTTTGAGTCCCCGCACATATGCATCTGAAGCTTTCATATGTTTGATAGCCTCAAACAAAAAAGTTTTAATTTAGTTTCTCTATTGTCCTAAGAATGACCTCATCGCGACTGTTCTCCATCCGTTGAATACTTCGATTTATTTTTCATGAAGAATTCTGTCCGCAAATTAAGATTTCAAATGTTTGTTTTTCAACACAGCTCTTATCATCAGTTCACATATAATTCGTCATAAATGCGTTTTTTTCTCCGTGAATAAACCTAACTATTGTGCTTTTATAATTTTGTAAAATGCTGGTTTTTGGCCTCCATTACATTTGAGATTTCTCTTGTTTTTATGAGGATTTCAAAAAACATTTATGATAGGTTACCTACTGAGGTATGGTGACTTTAGTAAGGAAAAAAAGAAAGCAAACAATAACCTAACACAAATGGGTAGTATCATTTCTCGATCACTATCTCATACCTACAGAAATTAGTTTCTTTTATCTGAAAGAGTAACTAATATATCTTGTTTATTATTTAAGTTCCCTTGATAACTCTTTCAGTGAATTTTATACTGTATTCAGTGAAATAATTTATCATGGACGAATTTCTGGTTTAAAAACGTAAATTCTTTTTTACCAAGAAATCAACAAAGATTATAACAGTTACTACTATTATGTTAATCACATATTGTTATCAAAATATTATGGTTTATTTAAGAAGCCCTGATAAAATATCTCAATCAGACTCACACTATTGTTATTTTCTCTGAAGACTGAAAAACATAAAAACATGTGTTTAATTCACATCAGTACAATTTTAGTTGTTCTTTCTTACTGCAAACTGGTGTAAAATTTCAAGGAAAAAAACATCAAATTGGTTTTTGAAAGTTTATCGATTTGATTCAACAAAAACCAATCAGTGAAAATTTGGCTTCCGTAAACATAATTTACTGAAGTTATACTGTTGTATTTATATTTATTTAAGACAATATGGTAGTCGGTTAGAAAATAGAGTGGAATTATATCATAAACCATTCGGAAATATCAAATACTGAGATGAGGTTGTCTAATGGGCTCGTAGTCAGTGAAAAATGCTGAGGTGAAGACAGTTTTGACATAATTGTTCACTTGATGAATATGGATAAAAGAATGAGTGAGTGATTAAGATCTTGGTGGGATGAGGGATTGAACAAATAGCGCTTATACATATATATTAGGCTTGAATTGGTGGATTGTCAAAGCTTTTTTATTCAGTAAGTTTTTAAGATGTACCCTCTTTGAGTCAATGGTTTTAATCATGGATAGCTTTAGAAGATTATTCTAGTGGGACACCGTGACCAGAATTTACAACTGCCGTGATGTTTTTGACAGCCAGTTGGAATAGTTCTCGGACACGTTCTAAATACCTGGTTTTGTGTCGACGATACGACTTGCTCCTCAAGCAAACGTAAAGTACATACCGATGTTGTTCTAAGCGAAAGATCACCTCTGATAATTCTAAGAATTGGAGGCGAGAGCGATTCGTAAATATTTGTTATTTACTGCAAGCTGATCAACTTTTCCAAATCCCAAACTAATAATAATCATGTGTTCACTGATGAAAAACTTCGAGATCAGGTTAGCAGAGTTCTGATAAAAACCTATGATCGGTGGATTCTAAACATGTTCAATATGATTTAAGCTACATAATAAGTATTGATGGTGATCACACAATATCTTAAATTGACTGAAATTAGAGATTTAAACCCGTGAACTCAAACTCAGCTGTCTGAAGTTCAGGGTCCAAACCCTAGAGTAGTTGCGAATACATATCACAGTAAACCAATACTGTGATGAAATAGCTACCCAGTGCTTCCTGGTTTTAAAAGGCTGTATTACTAAAATCGATCTGTTGTGTAAATTATGTAATCGTGCATCAGTTAATGCAATGTATATTGACACACAATTTTTATAACTATAGTAAAATATCATATCTCTCCTTTTTGCATGATGTTGTATACGTAACACACTGACGTTCGATATTTTTACTATTTAATTGTATCAGTTGTGAATAGACTTCGTTTGTTATCTAACTGATCCTTCCATTACTTTCGGCATCTAAACAAATAGTGCCTACACAGTTCTGTTTCTGTTTTATTGGTCACGCCATTGACTGAAGAGTACAACAATGTTGTAATGCCCTTTGAGATCACATTACAGTGCTTGGGACTAGTGACCTAGATGACATATAATTAACGTTGTTAGTTATATACTTCTCGTTATGCCGTCAATGACAAATCCAAAGGGAGAATATTTAATAGTTGAATGAAGTCCATTTATGGTCGCTGCTCAAAAAGAAAGCCTGAAGTAAAACATCACATAACGGTTGTGATTATTTTTTCATCCGATATATTACTTGGTTCTAATTGTTATTTTCGTCTACTCTTATTTGCAAATTGTCATTTCAGTTTTTTCGGATTAATATTTGTCTTGCATTTTAATTATCTCTCTCGCTTTCGGTCAGTTCCTCTACAGATGTCACATAAATAGGCAATTCTGAAATAATAAATTGATACTTGACCGTATTGTACATGCATTACTAATTTTGTACTGGATGCTTAAAATTGTCTCAATTCATGCAAATAATTTATCAATTCTGAGTTTTACAGGCATGGAGAGCAACTGGAAGGGGATCAAAGAAACAATCACTTCAACATGTCATGAGGTCCTGGGTCACAAGAAGCACCATCACAAGGAATGGATAACTCTTGATACACTGGATAAGATTCAAGAAAAGAGGAACAAGAAAGCAGCAATCAATACCAGTCGAACGAGAGCAGAGAAAGCCAAGGCACAAGCTGAACACACGGAAGTAAACAAGCAGGTGAAGAGGAGCATCAGAACTGACAAACGTAAATATGTGGAAGATTTAGCAATGACGGCGGAAAAGACTACAAGAGAAGGAAACATGAGAGAACTGTATGACACGACAAAGAAACTCTCTGGAAATCACCGTAAACCAGGACAACCAGTTGAAATCAAGGAAGGCAAGGTAATCACCAACATTGAAGAACAACGAAACAGGTGGGTAGAACACTCCAACGAACTCTTGAATCGACCAGCCCCACTGAACCCACCGAACATCGAAGCAGCACTCACGAACCTCCCAATCGATGTTGGCCCACAAACAATTGAAGAAATCAGCATGGCCATCAGACAAATCAAGAGTGGCAAAGCAGCAGGACCAGACAACATTCCAACAGAGGTACTGAAAGCAGACATAGCGGTAACTGAAAAGATACTCCACATTCTCTTCAATAAGATTTGGGATGTCGAACAAGTACCAACAGACTGGAAAGTAGGACTCCTGATCAAAATACCGAAGAAAGGCGATCTTAGCAAGTGTGATAACTACAGGGGCATCACTCTTCTCTCAATACCGGGAAAATTCTACAACAGGGTATTGCTAAGCAGGATGGAGTACTTCGTAGACGCCCAACTTTGAGACCAACAGGCAGGATTCCGTAAGGATAGATCGTGTACAGACCAAATCGCAACACTACGGATCATTGTGGAACAATCAGTTGAATGAAATTCATCACTCTACATCAACTTCATTGACTACGAAAAAGCATGTAATAGCGTGGACAGGACTACACTATGGAGGCTTATTCGACACTACGGCGTGCCTCAGAAGATAGTCAATATCATACAGAATTCATATGATGGATTACACTGCAAAATCGTGCATGGAGGACAGTTGACAAAGTCGTTCGAAGTGAAGACCGGTGTTAGGCAAGGTTGCTTACTCTCACCCTTTCTCTTTCTCCTGATGATCGACTGGATCATGAAGACGTCAACGTCTGAAGGGAAGCGCGGGATACAATGGACATCTAGGATGCAGTTGGACGATCTAGACTTCGCAGACGATCTGGCCCTTCTATCCCAAACGCAACAACAAATGCAGGAGAAGACGAACAGTGTGGCAGCAGCCTCAGCAGCAGTAGGTCACAACATACACAAACGGAAAAGCAAGATTCTCCGATACAACACAACATGCAACAGTCGAATCACACTTGACGGAGAAGATTTGGAAGATGTAAAAACCTTTACATATCTGAGCAGCATCATTGATGAACATGGTGGATCTGATGCAGATGTGAAGGCGCGAATCGGCAAAGCAAGAGCAGCATATTCACAATTGAAGAACATTTAGAACTCAAAACAACTGTCAACCAACACCAAGGTCAGGATTTTCAATACAAATGTCAAGACAGTTCTACTGTATGGGGTGGAAACTTGGAGAACTACGAAAGCCATCATCCAGAAGATACATGTGCTTATTAGCAGTTGTCTACGCAAAATACTTCGGGTCCGTTGACCGGACACTATTAGCAACAACCTACTATGGGAGAGAACAAACCAGATCCCAGTGGAGGAAGAAATCAGGAAGAAGCGCTGGAAGTGGATAGGACACACATTGAGAAAAACACTCAACTGCGTCACAAGACAAGCCCTCACTTGGAATTCTCAAGGCCAAAGGATAAGATGAAGACCAAAGAACACATTACGCCGGGAACTAGAGATAGACATCAGGAGAATGAACAAGAGTTGGATGGAACTAGAAAAGAAGTTCCCGGGCATGAGTGGGTTGGAGAATGCTGGTCGGCGGCCTATGCTCCATTAGGAGTAACAGGCGTAAGTAAGTATTAGTTTATACTGAATAAGTTTATCAAGCGTTCGGTACGGAACTGATTATTCTGAACGTGACACAATTGCATGAGGTCGAAAGAAATTGAGAGACCGTTTCTTAAGTTATTTTGAAATGTTGATGTGATAAAGACTTCAAAACAATGTTTATTGAACCCATCAATATGTTTCGGCTGAAAAATATTGTGAATAATTGGTTAGAAATCACGTAAGCAGTACGATAATTAGATTGAAATCCCAGAGAGATCGGTACAAAATTTTATTGCTTTTCTCATTCACTTATTTATATTTTTTTTTAAAATTAAAATTAAATGTCACAAAATTCATGCTCGCATGAAGCACAAAAATGGGCAGTTTTGGAAGAGGGCATCAAGGGAGGGAGGATTAGATGAACCATTTGATTAAATATGTGCAAGTGGAACAAAAACAAAAGCTAAGTGGAACAATCATAGTTAGTTTTGTAAAATATTTGAAATAAATAAATCAGAAACCCATAAATTAACCTTTTGCAAAACATATTTAACGTCTTAACATCAGTAGTACAAAAGGTGTAATAAATAAACCGATAGACGCTGCCATCGACACTGAGTTAGCCACAGTACCGCTTGTGTGCAGAAAAATATGTTGTAACAGACTGAATAAACCAGATATGACACTTGAAATACCATTTAATGTGCCAAAATAACGTATTGGAAAACCTGTCAACAAATAACTGACATATGCGCTAAACATTAATGATCGAACAATAACTAAACAGACAAATGCTGTATAAATTGCAACCGTGTTGGGAATAAACATCATTGTACTTAAAATAACAGCAAATATGGACATTATTGTCATTGCAGGTACTAAGCCACTAATGTAATTATAATACATTTTTCTATTAGATACATTGAATTTGTTACTAATCAGTATATTTGCCACTTTATCACGTGAACACCTCAAAGAAAAATCAATAATTAATCCAGAAACAGGTGCTGCGAAAAAGCCGCACATTGAGAAAACTGAAGACACTTCTAACAGATGTTCAACTAGTTTTTTATCTGTTGGAAACAAATGAACTAGTTGTCTGTATAACTGACTTAAGAATATGGCAAAACGAAATAAGCCAAGAGTAATCCATAAATTAATCAATGCATACGAAGCTGAAAAGATGCATTTTCTCAGTGTTGGGAAACGTTCATCAATCACATTCGACAGTTCTTTGTCAACATCAACTGATGATGATTCTTCCAAACAACTTTCCTTTGAATAAGAAACAAAAGCTCTATAAAATGTCGTTATCAGTTTGACAAAGGTAAAACTATGAAATAATTCTAAATATATAAACACAATCTAATTATAAACAATCGTAAAACTAGTCATCTAAGCATTAATAAAGTTTCCGAGTAACCTGTACATGATCCTTAAATCACTCATTGTTATTAATAACCAACGCGCGAAGAAACTGTGTTCATCCGCTATCATAAATAACACAATGGGAACAAACTCAGTTTTCGTCTAGCCGTATAATGATTAAATGAATTTCTTGATTCTGGAACGAAAGGTGGATGGAGATGCAAAGCATGTCAGATCTTAACGTTTGTATGTTATACATATTAAACATCATCTTAAAAAGACAGAACATAGAGTCGCTTAAACCTTATTTTTTGTCGAACTGACCTGCACGTAGCCTAAACACCATACTTTTGATATTTCATACAAAACCAGTTCACGAAAACAGAATATTAACATGTTGTTTTGCAGTCTGGATTTGTGACAACATTGATTTCAGGTGACGATAATATTTCAATTGTAGGAACTTAATAACATAGTCATACGTAGTGATTAAACAATAATAAACTTATACTTACTCGTGACTGAAAAACTGATTTCGTTACTTCAGTTTTTGCAAATTTCTCCATATCTACTGACTTCATAGTGAGAATGAACATTGCTATGAACAAACCCATAATAAATGAACCTATTGATAAAGATATAAATGACCACTGAAGTGAAAAATAGGGGTGATATTTCGATACAGCATACGCTACAACTGTACTCGAATCAAAGGCTCCGGAAATAAGTGATATGCATATTCCACGAAAATGTGGGAACATTGAACTAATTTGTTGATTACAAATTAGGCTGCATATACTACTTAGTGCAACCAGAGCACCAGCAGTAAAGAAAAGTGGTGCCACTTTGCCAGTTGTAAAAGCAAACATAACAGTACCGGCAGCATACACTAACGTCGAAACCAGTTTTAAAGGTCTCAATCCAACTCTATCCATAAATATTCCGGCCAATGTAATGAGGCACAAATGTGAAACAAACCATACGTTAAAGCTGATTCCAAACATATCTTCGTCGTACATACAACCAGATTGTGTGCAGTTGTAAGCGAATAAACCCAAGGATTTGTAAATACCAATTAGGGAATTAAATCCATAGTGATATCCTCCAAAAAATAATAAATCCAGAATACAGAGAATAAGTCCTACATAACGACGTATACTGGACGGAAAACAGTTGTCAAGTTGTGCACCTGAAGGAAATTTGTAAAACGTTAGCTGTATAACCAATATTGATATGAGTTATGAAGCTTTCGTTACATCAACTAACTTGATAATTCATTTCGACGAGTAGTATAAACTATCAGTTACAGTTTAGATTCAACAAATCAATATGTACTAACATATCTAATAAGCCTAACATTAATTAAGACATCTAAAATGTTATTTAAAAGAAATTTCACGCTAGTGCATGAAAGCATAGAAACTAATTATTAATAACTATACTCAACCGTTGTATAAAATGAGTACATCTTTTATGACTGAGTAGGATAATAAATATTTTAACAGTTCCCTTAGTTATAATACAATGAGAATACAAGATGGAAGTTATGATGGAAAATAAAGTTGAAAAGCATATTTATAAATAATTATCGTTGGCTCACATAAAATCTTATTTCACACATAACATGTTGCAAAACACTGAAAACTAATTGATGCAAGATAATTTTTTTAAAATAACATAAAATTAAGGCATTTGGTCATCTAAACCTGAATAACAGTCCTTTATTATTATTACTATTATTATTGGCTTTGTTCAACATTATATTTTTGATACAGTACAGAATTCTCAGCACAAAGTATTTCAAAAAGTTTCCGTTTCTTACTTCTTGGTCGATCCTGACAATAAATATTGAGTGGTCGCCAGCTAGAAGTTAGCAGTCCAGGAGTCGACACCTGAATAATGTTCTTTCTTTTCGCTGCATATTGCCAGCAACCACGATGTCCTTTTGTAACTCATATGGCGGAAGGTTGTAAACTTTTCATAAGCGCACCTTATTAGGTTGTGCAATTAATAAACATAATGATGTTTTAGAACTAGCAGAAACAGATCACTTGTTGAAATATCTAGAGGGTAGAAACAAGTAGCCCAGATGTTCAAGTAAGCCGCCAATTTACCTCATAAAGTTAGATGATCAGACTGTTACATTCACCTTTTTGATAACGTAAGTGATTATCCTGATTATTCTAGCTAAACCTTTTATTAGTCAAGTAATAAAAAATCCGAAAAATTACCTAGTTAATTATTTTAACAAAGCTGTGATTAAATCGGCCTAAAAACGGTTTCAATGAAATCTCAATTTCAAAAGTCGAGTATGACACAAATTTATGAAAAGCAGTTGTAAGGAAAAACCGAATAACAATGAAAACTATTGATATACGAACAGGTAGTTCATGAGATTATGCGTTTTGAAACAAAACTCAGTCCATACTATAAGTTTCATGTGGAGATTTACTTCAGCTGACGTTCAGTTAGAGACCACTGTTGTAAGATACCTTTTTAACTGGTCACAGATACGACGTGCCTCACTTAGAAGAATCAGCTAATATTGAAATCAATGTTTTCAGAAACATCAACTGCCCAGATTGAAAATACTATTATTTTATATCTAATAATGACCATTTTCGGAATGTCTAGTAAAAATATAACACATATTTGAAGCACCATGACATTTTATAAGTTACACTGCAGCACACAGAGAGTTATGAGCATAAAGTTTCTCCAAAATGTTAGATTATTTAAAATTCAACCAGTCACTGACAGGATATTTGGAATGTACGAAACTTCAATTGTTTTCAAGATCAGTGGAAAATAAATTCGAATTGTTCGGTAGAACAGCTGTTTAGAACATGTTTTAATTACTGTGATTTCAAATAAATTTACATAAAGCATCTAAGCAGTTTTAGCTATTTACTTAAGCTAGATACCATGTTTATCATCAATATCCAGCACTATGGGTCTTTGTAAGTTGGGAATTTTCCAAAAACTCATAGGATTTCAGACAAATTTGACTTTTATAAAGACGTAATAACAAACACAATTTGATGTTTTCTTATTACCATTTTCTTAGCCAAAAGTCGTATTTTTGTTTAGTATTTAAAAACTCAACAACTTGGTAAATTAAATATTTAAATTTCTAAATTAAACATTGTGTAGAATAATCAAATCTTTTATAGAGCTATTACTGTAAATGAATAAAATCCCTATGCACTTAAAATTAAATAAGAGCAAGATGACTCCAGTCAGTAACAAAAAATAGAGACTTGCATACACGTCCATTAGTTTAAGTCGCCAAAACACATTGTTGCAGGAAGATGAGATTAACAACAAAAATGTTAGAGTAGCAGTAGAAGAAAAATCAGTGGTCGTAAAAGATGACTAAGAACAGACAATATGATTTGAAAAGAAAGAATTAACTTGAAGAACGGAAGTATAGTATATTTTCAAAACTTAAAATTTAAGTAAAGATGGAAAACAGACATTTCTGGTCCATTGAGATTGATTCTGAGTTATTTTGCCCGGTGTGCTCAGTCACCACTAGTAATAAATGCCTAAACCCCAACAAACAGTGATTTCATGGATTAGTGTAACGTAATGTAGCAATAAGTGTTCTATATCATATTCTCCAAAGTGAAAGATACAGCCAAATACTTCACTTGCAAGTAGTGAATTAATCAAAAGTGTAACAGTCAAGAATTAAAATTTTGCATCCATGAGGTTAGAAACACGTGCTAAACACACAACTCCATCAACTGTATTCTAAAAATAATCTGTCAGTTTTCGTAGTAAATGGAGTATATTGTTTGGTTAGTCCGAATAAATTACAGAAACTTTGAGTAAAAGATCATCCAATGAGACATAGGATAACGGCAATGTGCTATCTGGGATTAAGTAAGTTAGTTAAAAATAGAAGTAAATACAATACGGTAAGCTAACATGACCTACAGCAGTCACCCAATTAGTATGAATTGGCAGCGATTAATAAAACACCGAGTAATTATTTTACATATGCGGCGAAATCCTGATCTGTTCACTATGCACAAGTACAACCCTATGACATTCAATCGATCAACTTTTACATTGATTATTTTGTTAATTTACGCTTGTTTCCCATATTTGCAAAATATATATTCATTTGGCATTAATGCTTAGTAATCACTTTGCTTTAAATATGGCTTAAAAGGGTATATATTAAAGATGGTTCAATTTTTCCGAGCAATTTTTCAATGCTTACATTAAAACATGTTCAAAATGCTGAATAACATATTATTTTTCTAGAGTTATTAGTAAATGTAGACAATATGCGATGAGTTCTAACTAGAATCTGTGACATCTTAGTTTTTCAAACACGTGTTTACTTCAATAGTTTATTTACCATTCTTTCAAACAGTATTTTATTGCAAAAAATTTGAGAGAACTGGTTTGACTACAATAACCCACTCGCTAAAACAGTATACATTAATAAACGCAGTAGATATGGTTTAAATGCTAATAAAGTAGTTTAACCAAAAATACATAACAGATTATTAACTTTATTCTAGTGGGGACTACTGTTACTAAACATGAACGTTATAGGACGATGTTTTATTTCCACATAGTTTCGTAGCTCCTGAGGACATAACATTAGTTTCCAAAAACGTTGATGTTATTGATTTACCCGTTTTATCTTAAAAACAAAGCATTTTTAAGATCTGTTTTCATTAAATATTATGACAACACTACAACCTGAAAATCAGTTGCAAACTCATGCTTGAGTCTCACAAGTATATGAACACTCTCTTTGATGATCAGGTGAAATGAAAAATCCACTATTGTTTAAGACTATGAAATATCATTTTTCCTTTGCTCAGTTTTTTTGACGAAGATAGACCCACTACAAAGCGCACATTTTTGCTAGTAAAAATATCTTATAGCGCATAATGATCCTCTTAGTAGGTCTTTTTCAGGTAATCGTTTTGACCGGAAATGACTTCACGACAACATCAATGATGATATGTCATGAAGTAAAACTAGAGAAACTAATACAACTAACATAAATACAAATGAATCATATATACAAAATCATTTGTAATGTTTATCAGCAACTCATGACAACCAAAATTCTAACTAAAATCAAACTCAGTTAGCCTAACTCGTAGATTGTCAAAGACACATTGACAGTTTATGATCGATTCATTTATATTATGAAATTTATTAAAACTAGGATCTCAATAGTGCATATTAGTATTCATCGTAGCTAATGTTTGGTAGTTTCAAACCACGAACAATACTACTCTCACTCTATATATAAAGTACTACGACTTTCAGCATTTTATTCTCGTCAATGGCCAACTTTACAGCCTCCGTATAGAACAATAAACATTAAATGCAGTTTACAACCACATATGGTGTACATATACTTTCCATTTGTAAACAAATCGCTGCAAGATAAGTTTTCAACTTAACTCTCTAAGTATTTAACATGACTTCATGACTCTTTGTTAACTTTTTCTGACAGCGCTATTTAACTATGTAAGTTTTGCTGACTTTCTTCAGTCCTACTTACCGAAAAATAAATCCAGTTCGAATTTATTAAAAATTTATTTTTCTTATAGTTGGGGTTGTGAAACCTAATGCAATATAATGAGTAGTGGCGGTAAACTATTTGCATTCCAAACAAGTAATCAGACAGGTCTTCCTTATATAAGAATAATATGTTGCCCACTAATCAGAATTCTGGAGTGTACGGTTGTCGTTAAACTAAAAGGGTAAGAACTGTTGTATACTGAGACCCATAATCCGAATATTTTATGATTTATTTAGGGTTTTTAAAATGGACAGAAAACTTTCTTGATGATAAAAAGACGGTGAAGGTGAAAAGTACTTTATGTATATTAGGAATCTGTGGGATAGAATTTCTTCAAAAGACAGTAAATGAGCCCCTATTATTCTAACTCTTGACCCAAAGTTTCCGAACTCTCATCCCTTTTTGCTATTGTTTTCGAGCAACAATACACAATGATAGTATTCGGACATCATCAAATCGATGGTTGTCTGAATTCAAGCGACAATCTATCAGTTTGTTGTTTTTCGCTTGGCCTACGAAACTTCCGTAACTTCCGATCGTAATGTGTCCATTAGCTATACATCCATTGAAAGTCATGCGTTTTTAAGATAATCCATTTCTACTCTTATTCTTTCAAAGTTTCTTACTAGCAGTGAATCCCTTGTAATGCAAGAAGGTTAATATGACTCATACAACATGATAAAAGAACAAACATACCTAAGGTTTTTTATTACGGTGATCAAGAGTTTTCATTGGGCTTTCCATTGCAGATCACAGCAAATCGCAAGGTATTTGCTTCCAAAGTCGTTAGAATTTCAGTAACGCTTCTAAACGTCTCTCAAAAATTGTTTAAAAACCTGCATACTGAATATGATGCGTCGCAAACAACAGACTAAAGTTGTATTAGCGCAATCAAATTCCTTTTTCATCCCCTAACTATAAATAGTAACTGTGAGTGCCCTGAGTAATATTAAAATTTTTAACGCGTTAAAGTGCCCAAAGTTCGTAAGCTTAAATGGTAGGAATTTGCGGAACTTAGTAAGGTTTAAACGAAAGTCTTTGAGGGTCAGCATGAAGCAATTCGCATAAATGTGACTTATAAGTAAATTTCAATATACTCACACAAACCCATCTTCAAGATAATCACTCTACCGCCTTTTCGCTTTCGAGGTAACGAAACTGGACCTCAAAATGTGTCAATATCCAATGTTCTTGTGATCAGTGTATATTAGTTAACTGGTCCGTATTCGAAGCGCTTATGTTCTAAAACTATTACTAGCTTGATTAGCCGTCTGTGTACTTAGTCTAAGAGGTTTTTATCTACTTTAAAGAGAATGGATGCAACGACAGTGTAGACTTCAAAATGAGTCTGTGTGTAAATGGTAAGCAGTGTTAGGAGCAATTTTAAGATGAATGTGTTAGGTTTTCTTAGCATATAATGGTGAGTTGTGTTTCTCTTGGCTGCATCCTTTTTCAAAAGTTACTGTTTGACTGATTATCTGTTGCCTATTTTTCTATAATTGTATGGTCCTATTCAAGCTCTAGTGAATACTCTTCGCTTTTTATGTACCTCTTAATCTTTGTATTGTCTGAACAGGTCAGTGATACCAACCTAACCTTGCCTAACATATCTTCGAAAAGATCAAGGACAGAAGTAGACCTAAAACTGTTGCTTGTGAAGCTCCTGATGCTGAGACCCTTCTACCCTCAATCACTTTATTTATTTATCTCTAGCGGTAAATAAATTCCCAAAATAAATATCTCTGTAGGTTTTCGACATTGGATGCTGAACACATTTTTTAGCAGACTCATCCAGCTGAAGGCGCTCGGTCATGCATCCGCATCGGATCACGATTGAGAACGCCGTGCTCAACAACCCTTGCAATCGCTAGCCAGATTAGATCAGGCGTCCTCGATGTATTGATAGCATATCAAATATATCTCCGAGCGTCCTCTCCTCTGTCTTTTTATTTAACTTGGTTGGAATACTTCATATTAGAAAATGTTACTGATTAAAGCGTTGTCAAACTCCGAATACTTGTGGCATCTTCAGTATATCACATTCGGTTATCTAGGTGGTTTTGGAACCAGTAAAGACATTAGTCAGTGAACGTCTTTCTTGCAACCTTCGCAATGAGAATTACGTGTGGTACTGTATCAAAGGCTGTTCCGAAATCAAGGGACATCACGTGAATCAGTATGCTTCGGTTCCAAAAGGTCATATGGCTTTATCAAGCTGTGAGTAGATTGGGCGCATAGAACCTTCCTTTCTCAAGTCTATGTTGAGATATGTGGGGGTCGGTAGTCTTATTATTGCATTTTCTCACTTGTTCACTGATTAGCCCAATCATTACATTCGAGAGTGTTAGGAAATTCCGACTAGTCTTCAATGCGATGGATTTTTCCATTTCCTTTGAATACCGAAGTGAGAGTACACTAGTTCCATTCATTAGGGAACTACTGAGAATCTAGTACGCACTTGAACAGATCACACGTCAATGAGCTAATGGCTTCTGTTCACCGGTTCAGGATTATAGGTCTGGTGTTGTCACATCCTGGAAACTTTCCTAAGCACAAGGATTTTAGTTTCTCTAATACTAGTCCAGACGTTAGTTAGGTGTCTGCCATATCCTCAAGCGGCACCAAAATTGAGAGATGTTCTGCCGTTTACCATCACATCGGGGTTATTTTTGCTACCATTTTGAAACCTTGATTAGGTATTCTGTTGTTCAGAACAGGGACCTACTAAAAACTTATTATTGGTAAAGGTAGCTTTTTTTTCTTCTCGGTTTCTGCACTGTGTCCGTTCCCTGTTATTTCGGACAGTCATATCAGAACCTTTACAAACAACGACCATAGATAAAAGGAATGTGTATTTAGTACGAGATATTATACAGTATTTACGTAGTATATGTACGTAGCCTTCAATCGTACAGTTGCACCTATCGGTGTTTCCTACCGTCCGATATGTCTTCTCGTTTGGCCTCCAAGTGTTCTACCAGCTACATGCACTCGATACGTCGAAAATACTTACTCTGTCTGACAACTGTAACGACTTCAACGTCACGTTCAGCCACACACCAGTTACAAACAGTCTTATGAGTAGCGTCCACTGCATAATATGGCACAGTGAAGGTTCTGTAGAACTATGGTCTACTATGATATTAGTACTGCTCTAATAATAGACCTAATCCCAAAATTGTAGATTCGTCATGATATAACTGCCTAATCTATAAGATCTTACGTGGAAGTCACACCATTGACTACACCAACTCACTGTATCGCATCAATTACCAATACCTGATGAGGAACAAGGTTAGGATAGAGAAAGAACAATATATTTAATATGAATGAGATATAGGATAATATCCAGCAGGGACCACGCCTGCATGGCCGAGCCATGCCACTCGATCAACTCCAGTCCATTCAATTCATTGTTCGCGCCTTCTCCATTGTTAGGTATTTATCCGCGTTAAATATTGAATATCTATTTTCTGAGTAGTCTTGTGTTCAGCTTTGAAGACTGTGTGGTTATGGTCCAATGCCACTACACTACTCTCCCACCAGAATCAACGTGATGTTGGTTCGATACCAAATTGGATGGGATCGTCGCGCACCGGAGGTTACCAAGGATAATAAGAATCCTCCGGGTATTGGTAAGCTGAAAGATAAATCAAAAAGAAGGCGGCAGCACCTGGTTGGGAAATATATGTAATAATTTTAAAATATCTGCCTTCATGCTTAAAACGCTTGAAATGAAAATTTGGGTGAAGATTGAGCTATAAAAAATGGGGTTACAATAATAATAATAAAACGATGCGTGTTAATAACTTAACTTATAGGTAGTAATTATTTTGTGTTTAGAAATATTAAAGTAATGAATATTGTAGAAATGTTAATATCGGTACTAGTTTTGGTTTAAATTATGAAACCAATTAACAATTATGCCGGTAACCCGTCCATATGTGATTTCCAATTGCATCTGTATTAGTAGGCTAACTGAAAGAACAAAAGTATTAACGTGGAGAAGAATTCCAACTAGTGTTCCTGTTAGTTTGATACGGTTTATTTAGTTACGGGGGAGATTTTCTCAACCTCATTTTTACTTGACCGTGATAGAATTTAGTAATACTACTAATACACATGAATGTTCATTAAAACAAAATTTAAATACGTGAGTGATGATTATATGAATTTTGGACAGATAGCTAGGAACAAATCGTTAAACATGAGTGTATTCGTAAGAGACATGCTCTAGACTCAATGTTCTGATCTGTGGCAGACTATTTATTTATATTTATACTTGCCGGCTGATTGGGCATACAAGTTAGTTCCAAGTATGCAGTTTATCATAAGGCGGAATACGACTTAATTGAGATATAGTGGTTATAAGTTATTAAAATCAGTTAGGCCTGTGTCATATTACGAAGTGATGTGGTGCTGCAAAATGTATTTAGCTAAATAAGTTTTTACAAGATGATTAATAGTGAGTGATGCTCATGTGATTATCAGAGAGAACATAAGTTGTAACTAGGGGGAGTACACTCCCAACTCATGTCTATGATAATGGCTTGAACCTTAGTCAGTGTTGGGGTAAATTCGACATTGATGTTTTCAGTTTGCAGGAGATTTGCTCGACTGCTTATACTGATTATTTGCATGCATGATTGTGTCGCTAAACCATCAATTAGACTGACAAGGTTTCGAGATATTTACTGAGTGAGCATCTGATAGAAACATACTGTAATCATCTGTGATGGATGAAGATACAAAGAAAACAACACTAGTGATAATTATAAGTCAATTTGTTGACCGATTTCGTAAATAGTTTTATTAATTTTATCAGTCATATTACGTGATTGTCAAGTCATGACAATGCTTTATGACGATATTCTGAAACTATTACGTTTAACTAGTTATAGTGTTGATTGAGGATTAGTCAGTGGAAAAATAGGTATTGTTGCTTTAGGCGATTCAAAATTATCAGAAATTTATAACGTTAAAGAATCCGAGACGCCTAATTTAATTATAAATTTTAATTCAGAAAGACTCGTTTAGTGTTAATCCTAGTAGGCTACGGAGTTTTGATTTTAAACGTTTGTTTAGCCAACAACTACCTGAGGATTTAGTTATTTTACTAGTGCAGTTGATAGTACCTAAATTTTTAATCTTATTATCTAAACTATGTTCGCATTTTAGGCTGCTAATATGATAAACCAATCCATAAACCCAAATACGATTAGCAAGAACAGCTATGATGGGTTTATTTATAAATGTTAAAGGCGACTCAGATGATTTCTTAATTTAGAAGACATGAAGATATAGTGCAACACATATACGGGCCAGGTTAACATGCAGGTTGTTGACATATATGACAATTTAAAAATAATGAACACGACCAGACTTCTTATGAAACTTTAGGCAGTAATATAACGCGTTATAAACATTCCATAAGAAGTTACTGGATTTAGTCTAGGGACACTTACAAATATATTGAAAAGCAACTGGAAAACATATACATGTTAAGTACAAAAAATCATTAGGTAAAATAGTTGAACTCGCCCGGATTATTTTTGAAAATTAGGTTATTCAGTGGACGACATATATAACGCCATTCGTGAGGAGTAGTAATGATCCAGAAGTATCCAGAATAAAACATGCAGTATGGCAATCACTTCCAGGGTGCATGATGCTGTTGAGGTTTTCGCCACTCGCTCGGATCAGAACAATCGAATAAACCCAGATAATTGTGTGGTTGTCATTGAACGAACCATCTAAAAATGACCTTATGACTGCAGAAAACTTATAGCTGAAACTCACCGTATGTTTTTGGAGTCATCCTCGTTGTTTGGCAATGGAACTCGTGAATATGAAATTAGGCAGGCAGTGGTCAGAAGAAAAGATATTACAGGATAGTGCATAGTTTAAAACAGGATGAGGTGTTAAGTGAAGGAACACTGAGAATTAGATCCAGATAACTATTTAGTCCTTGATCGCATTGTTAGTCAATGTATATTTACGCTATTTACAGGTCATATTAGCTAGAGCTTGATGTTTAAACAAGACTATGTCGCTGAAGCATGTAAATGCTATTAAAGCTTGTTAACAAACCATCAAAGCTAATTAGTTAAGATAGACGACCAGTTTTTATTATCGATTGAGCTAGTTTGTCATGAGGACTAATCAATATAACATTAC